ATGCCTTCTGGTCCAGGGTACCCCGCTGCTCCTTTCTGCCCTGCTGGCCCTGCTTTCCCCTTGAAAAAAATTAAAATCAAATAGAGCACTATCATCTCTCTTCATCTTCACCATCACAGAACAAGATTTCAGTCACAGTATTTCCTAAACTCTACATAATAACAGACTGGCAGAGGAGGGTCTGAGTTAGGATGTTTAGTTTCAAATGCTATTGGCTTAACCTTAGACTTGCTGTGCTGTGGGCTCTGAGCAGCTTCAGTTGGAACCATGGGAAAGACCCCCTGAAAGATGGCTGAGAGTGTTGATTGTTAAACTGAAGCAAGAAAACCTGATACAGTCATCTATTTATCCCTGTAAAAAACCCAACCATATACCTTTTCAGCCTCCATTCTACTAGATACTCCACATTGTACATTTGTAAATTTACGCTGTTCAAATCTGTACAGATAAAAAATACAAACAAACTTCTAATTGGACAAGTTTGTGCTAACCGTTGCTATACTTGCACGAAAAAGCCTCAAGTCACATCCACCAAAGGAACAGTGATTTTTTTTTCTTCTTTACAATAATTTCCCCTTAGACTGACATACATGATCTTAACAGGCTTGGAGTTCTGCAATTACCCCTGTACTAATGCATTTTTCAGAAATGCACTAACTGCAACTCATCTTGTTTGAAAAAGTATAGTTAACAAAAGCCATATAGAATACAAGAAGCATGCCATCTTAATCTTATTTCTAACTTCTGCTTGCTGAATTATCTTGCACTTGGGATATGCTTTAAGTCTTCCTCAAGTTTCAGTTTTACGGTCTTCTCCTCCTTGCTTTTCCATTTGTCTTGCCTTTCCCTCTTTTCCTTTGTCTGCCAAACAATATGCTCTCTGCAGTCCTCCAGAGGGAAGAGCTGAGCATTTACAAAAGACAGTCTCCTTGCCTTCAAAAGGCTCTTCTTGCACTCTGCCCAGCAGATACAAGCTCTGTGAAGCAGCTGCACTTCTCTAGTTACTGACAATGTTTTGATATAAGGTAGTAAAAGTTATTTACAACATGTGCCTGTGTGGTATTATTTATTAGGAGACCAAAATAGCCTTGATGCATTTTGTTCTTGGTTATGTCTACATAACACCTTCCTGCTTCCTGCTCTTTCTTCTCCCTCAGGGGGAGAGGGATGCACCTTGGCTTCTCTACAGTAACTCAAGAGAGCATTAAAAATTTCATCTCAGGGCAAGCGAGACAGAGAGAGAACTAAGCCTTAAGGGATCTGCCAGCCATATTCACTATGGACATATGGATCCAGGCTTCTGTCGGCCGCAGCTGTTCAAAGAGCCGATGGGAGCCAGGAGTGAACAGTAGTATAGTTCTGTGCAACGTCATGTGATAACTCGCACATGGGCTATAAGCCACATACAAAAATGATCTAATTGATTAACTTTACAAGTGGGAAGGAACTTGTTGTTATATTAGCTGCATGTCACTTCCATGTGCTGAGTAACTGACTATAATTCAGTATAATTTAACATAGCTTCACTAATTATTCTTATTTTCCCAGGGGTTCCTTTACACTTCCTGGATAAGAAAGTTCTTCAGACTGAATGTAGGACTTTCTGGTACCACTGGCCTGACACAATTTTGCATTGATTAGTTATTATTTTCTCTGTTTCATAACCTGAAGATAGACTGTAGAATTTTTGTTACTTACAGGAATTCCAGGTTTGCCTGCCTTACCCGTTGCTCCTTTCTTCCCTGTGGGTCCCTAAAAGTTACAAATACTTGTGAACTGACAAATGTCTTAAATTCAGTCCCCTAAGAAGAGGTGAGAATTGTTCCTCTCTAGTACGCATGTTCACATTGCCTGGCTTTGGACCAGATTATTGCCATTTCAGAAGACAGCAGAAAGTTTTTCAAGCAGAAGTAAATACAGTTTTTTGGCAGAATTGCATATATTTTCCCCTTTCCCAAATTGCTAGAATGTAGTTTTCAGAACTTTTTCAACAACAATAGGTATAAAATTTTTTCACTATGAATCTGGCAATTTCTCCTCTATCAGCCACATCTCTGTAAGGAAGTATGCTTTTACAGCGCTTCCTGTACCTTTTAGAAAGGGAAGTCCTGAAAAGTAGGTAATGTAGATGCACTGTGTACATGTGGAAGAGAATACTAGGAAACACTAGTGTCACATGGGAACATTCTTTTTTCCTAGAAGGTACACAAGAGATAAAATTTACTTAAAACCAGACTTTTTGTTGTCTTGACTGATCTAGGAAACGGTAGTCTTAGAAAACTGAGGGACAGTGAGAGCAGATAATATTCTTCTAAGTGGTGTAGGGTCATAGGAGGCCAAACACTGAGGAACAAAAGCTCAGAATGGGTCAAAAGCATCTCAGAGAATTTTATTTATAGGATATGCTTGACAGAATATAAAGATCTATGGCATGAATTTTATCTTACCTCTAAAAGATAAAACCACCCAGACAGCAGGGATAAGAATAACACTTGTTGGCATAGATCAAGTAGAAAAAAGCTTCCAAGATTTTCTGGATTAATTATTTTAAACACTGTTCTTAAAGCAAAAGTGATGCTAAACTACTATCCTGCAATATTACATAACATACAACAAAGTGAAAAAGCTAAGGTAATTTTAAGTGTAAATGTTTAATAATTAATGTAAATATGATCAATTCAGCAAAATTTTCTTCTATTCCTTAATCTAACACATTTTTGTTAAGAAAGGCATAAAAAAAGTCCACCAATCAGAACTGGAATGTGTATATTCAAAGAACTTTACATTTTCATTAAAATTTCTGAATGCATATAAAGTAAGCCCAGATGATTCAACACTGCAGTATCTGGGACTGGCTTTGTAAAGCTTGCTATAAGCAGCACCAGTCATGCCACTAGAGTTGACTGCATGAATGTTTTCACCAGTAACATTTTTACATAAACTTTTAGGCTCTTGTGGGTTGCTCCACGCTGGATATTGGTTCCATATTTGCAAATGGCCATTTTAATCTGAGGGGTATTTGCAACACAAAAAAAACATTCTCCAAGGTAAAGACAGAGGAAAGACTGATTTTATCCTGTGCTGTGAGTAGTTTGTCAAAGGCGATATATCTGAGTGCATGGTTAGAGTACATGCTGACAATGTCTTCACATCATGTTTCCTTTCTCTTGTTCCCCATTCCTAATCTACTACAGATTCTTGTATTTACCTAGAAAATTTTGAAACTCTACCAGAGTAACGCTATGGAACTTCTCAGACAAAATATCTCATTTAAGTTGCAATGGCAAGTGGTATTGCAAGAAATCTTTTAGCGTAAATCTTTTGAAATCTCAAAAGCTAATGAAAGTCACCCCATGGGAGAATATAAAATCCTTTTAGCAATTTTTAACACACCACCAAGATGAAGTATTACTACTAAAGGAAAATATTTAGTCTTTGATCTTTTTCATGACTTGCTCTGTCATTATTCCTCTACTATTCTGTAGCAAATTTATAATTTCCAGGACTCTCTGAAAATCCAGTGCAGTGCACTACCAGGAGGCTTCATTTACAGACCAGAGCAGTAAAATCCTGAATGTCTTCCAGAGCTAGTTTGCCACAAGGAACTCCATTTAAGGGTATAATGAACATCATTCAAATGTTTCCAAAATAACTTCTCATCATGCTTTATGTCACTCCAAAGTAAAACCACTTATCTATCAAATAACACATTTATTAATCCAGATCATTATCCCTGTAGGTATGACAAAGAAAGCCAAACACTGAATTTTAGCCTTATATAACAGTTTTCCAAGGATAGTCAGTGAACAGTAAAAAAAAAACCACAAAAATTCTAATTAAGTGCAGTTTTGCTTTACTTTTTTCTACTTACTTCTGAACCTCTTTCTCCTTTTGGTCCTTGCTCTCCCAATTCACCTGGGTCTCCCTTTGGAAAGAACATTTATTAAATAAATAAAAAGAATAATTTGAATGCAGATGAAAATGCATTTTCAACAGCCAATAGAGAAATCTCACTTGTTTCAAACACTTACTGGAGGTCCCTGTTGTCCAATAGGTCCTCTAAGCCCTGGAAGACCTATATGACCCTGTGAATCAGAAAATACAACATATTGCAATACAAGTAACTAAAGATGTCATGCTCAGTGAGCTATAGATTTCCTTGTAAAGCCCATCTTGGGAGGTGCTGGGGGGCCCCAGCTTCACTGGCATGACCTAGATAAAGTATGCTCTGCTCTCCTGAGATCAGACCTTAGGGAGCTTTTCTTTAAATTCCCTACGCCAAACTGCGAGAGGGAATTACATATTGTTTAAACATTTCTGCACTTCTGTGAGCATAGATCATATTCAGTTCATTAATTTTTTATTATGTCTATCTGTATTATCTGTGTAACTGAAACAGGATATTCCGTGTCAAGGACTGTCTCTTTTGATTTCAGCAAACAAACTGCATCAGTGATTAGCATGAGTTACCATCCAATTTGTATTTGCTGAAAGACTGAATACAATTAATGAATAATTATTAGGATTAGATTTACAAAGAAATGGTGCTTACATTTCAGAGAAAAGCATTAATTCAGTCAGTATTACAGAATTACAGAATTGTTTAGGTTGAAAGGGACCTCTTAAGATCATTTAGTGCACCCCCCCTTCTCAAGCAGAGTCAGGTAGAAAAGGTTGTCCAGGACACTGGCCAGTCAGGTTTCGAGTATTTCCAAGGATGGGGACTCCTCAACCTCTCTGAGTAGTCTGTTCTGGTGTTCAGTCTTCCTCACAGTAAAAAAGCATTTTCTGGCATTCAGAAGGAATTTAATGCATTTCAGTTTGTCCCTTTGCCTCCTGTCCTGTCACTGGACGCTACTGAGATGGGTCTGGCCCCTTCATCTTCATTCCCTCCCATCAGGTATTTATACACATTAAGATCACCCAAGCCTTCTCTTCTGCAGCTCATGAGTCCCAGCTCTCTCAACTTCTCCTCATATGACTTACTCCATGGTATTCTAAGAGTTCATCAGCGCAGTGAGGCACCAGCAGGTGCTTCTCTGCACACTTGTAAAAGATACTTCTGCTACATTACTCTACATGTATACATAGCATGCAATGTTCCAATAAAAGGAATAAAAAGCAAGAGGTATTACTTTGTAGCCCTCATCACCAGGTTCTCCTCTATCTCCACGTTCTCCACTAGGACCCTAGAGAGAAAACCAAAGAGCAAAATAAACAGCTGAACTGAAATAAGGATTTAGTGAAGTACAAACAGAAAGATGAGAATTCTCTCAAAAAAGACTAACCAATGAGATGGAACTAAGGATTACAAATATTAAAATTAGCTTGTCTAAAGGGATAAACATGATTTTTTTTTTCTAAACAAAATGCATTGCAGTCAGACAGTAGTCACTACCTAAAAGATTTTGTAACTGAAGACTAGGAGCTAAAAGATAGATCTTAACATGGGCATAGATAAAACCGGAGTATTGACCTCAGCAGAACTTCTCCAGGTTTATACCCATACATATAAGACATCCGAATCAAAAATCTCCACAAATAAATGAAGATACTTTGTTTTCAAGATAGGCAAGGAAAGCTCTCATGGTTTCTGTAAGACAACACATGAAAAATGGTGTTCTTTTCTGAAATGACTTGTACTCAGAATCTGCTTTAATTTTGAAGTTTGTCCTAATAAAAAGGCAATTTCAATCCCTCAGCACGCCTCACACATATGAGAAGTGCACAGAGCAGAGGGAATGGCATGATTGAGTCATGTGGTTCTTCCTGCTGCGTTCAGACACCTCACTAGCTATACCCTAGGAAAAGGCTCTTACTCCAGTCCCACAAGAAATGGGATTTTTCCCCAGCATTTTAACTCTCATTGCAGCAAATGGACCAAATCTGTCAAACGAAAAATGATGGGATAGGGAATCACGCCCATAGAAAGTAAGAATGGCCAAGACTTTCCAGAAGACATCCAGCCAATTATTAGATGAAATAATAACAGATGCCCTTTTTTCCCCACCTATGTCTTAGGCAAAGTAAAGACACATAATGAAAAACTGGCCAGGCATCACTAACTGCAATGTATCTTTACAGTTCACAGATGAATAGATGAGCTACTTCCAGTGCATATCCACCAATAGATAGTATTATGCAACTGCTTGTATGCTCTCCAAGGTTTCAGCAGCCTCATGTCACGTTTCCTAGAGGGAGTCCACAAGGTGGAAAGGTTCTGCTTGCAGTGTTTGAGCAGTCAGCATTACAGAGCTAGTTCATCTACATCAGAATTGGCTGGAATCTCTTCTCTCAGGCATTTCCGTAATTAAGTTAAGAACTGAGCCCAAACTCTGTCTTCAGTTACATAGGGTCTTATAGTCCTGCCTTTTGAGGAGGTGAGGTATAAATATTAAGGATAATCTGAAGAGAAGTAGGTTGTACAAGTACTACTTCTGGCACAATCAAAGCCTGAACATGAAACACTTCTAATAACATTTTGGGATGGCTTTTTTTTTTTTTTTTTTGGACACGTTCGTAATTGCTGCAGAGAGATAGCCCACATATGAATTTAGTAAAAAAAATTGGTTACAAAATGCAGTTCTTTCTGAATCAGCTAAATTAGCTTTGTAGTGATAATGAAATAAGCCAAAACATATTTCTGGTTAACAAAGCAATTAGGTATAATTTGGGATGAACACAGAGGGTAAAATTCTGTTCCAAAATGTGCTAGTCTAAACACAGACTAATGGCATTAGTGTAATTAAACACAGGGCACATACTCTTAAGCAGGAAAGAGCACATGACTGCATTCTTCAGAGAGGGATTACTGATTCAAGGACCATCATTCTACATTTTTGTACAAGGGAGTACTGACTCCTGAGACAGTGATATAAAGTTTCAGAAAGAGCCTGCATTATCTCATCTTGAGAGGCACTAATATATTTTTTTTGAGAAAGAAAGACCTACTGGTTCACCTATGGGCCCAGGTGGTCCAAGAACTGTATTGTCTTCTCCTGGGTAACCCTAAAACAAAGATAAGTATTATCACTATTAAGTTGGAAATTCAACCTCTTCTACAATGTGCACACATTCAAATGCTAATAAACACCCAGAAAGCATACTGTACAGATGCTAGAAGTGAATATGATGTTTATGGTTTTAATACAGTGGAAACAGTAACTCCATTCTAACATGCACCTAAATGTCCTGGAGACATTTAGGACTAAAAAAACCTAAGTATTTGCTCTATTCTCAAAGGCAACTATATTTGAAAAAAAAAAAAAAAAGTATTTCAAGCATATCCATGTAATCATTTCTGTAATTTAATGAAAAAGGGACAAACAGAGGATAAAACCAGGACATTTGACAAGAGGAAAAAATAAAATTTGTTCCACGATTTTGAGAAATATACTTAAAATAGACAAGTGTACAGAAGACTCCAACAATCACCTGAACTCTATTAAATTTTAAATATGAAAAAACTGCCATCCAAGCTAATAGACAAAAAGTTATCAATTCCAGATGATACTTACCAATATTTAATGCAAGAGGCTCACATTTTCAATATGATTAAGGTTTTCCAAAGTGCATCAAAGTGCTTTTTCAGAAGTGACCAAGTAAGCTAGACACCTAGCTCCCAACAATTTTATTTTTCATGTATTGTTTCTGAAAATTATATCAGAACCTATTTATTACATCACCACTAATTGCCTCTTAGTAATGTAAGAACGTATTTCTTTGCCAGGTACAACTCCAAACTAATCTTCATGAAGGGAATCCCTGTACCTGCTGCGGGCCACAGACTTCAGCCAGAATACAAATCTATTTGCAGGATTTGAGGCTTAAAAGAACAAAGGTGAATTTGACACTAAAATAGCAGCACTGAGGCAACATCCTGCCCCTGATGTTTTATATTAAACATAGACCTTTGTCCATCTGTTGGATTTTCAGTAAAATCCATGGGTGTACTCACAGGCTTAAAGCTAAGTAAATACTTAGCTGGTTCCACACTGACTATTTCTGTCAGCAGTGCTCATTAAGGGCAGTGGTGCTATCTGACACAATAGAATGTGTTTCTTACAATGGGTTCCTTGTGTTTTAAAACCTGAAACATTTCAGCTGTATAATTTGAACTCTGAATGATCCATTTCCCCAGTTTTGCATTTCTTTTCATATTCTCTCACAATACTAATAAATATTGCAAACAGTGGCTTTTGCTGCATGCTGTGGAAAACAGTGAGCATGCAATAAGATTTCTTCCCTTTATAATCAACTCAAACTGTAAAACAGTATAATCCATCTTCACACCTTTTCTCCTTTGGGTCCTGGGGGCCCTGGGGACCCTGGAGGACCCTGGTGACCCTAAAGAAGCAAACAAAACAAAAATCAGTTCCAAAACAAATAATTAAAGAAATAATTATTTCCAAACTTTCTTTTAGATGCTTGCTACTATTATTTTTATGTTGCTTGCTAACAATGCTAAATAGCGATCTGTCACAAAATTAACGGGCCCAGGCAGAAAATATATTGTGTGCAGGAAAAGCTCTGTGCACCGTGGGAAACAAAAGGTTCTGGTAGGGCTTGATGGAGGCGAGGGGAGCCAGGGTCGTTCTCGCTTCAGGATTAGGGCCACTGATGAAATTTTCTGTTTGGAAAAAAGACTGGCAGTGTGGTCTGTAAGAGCAGGATTTGATGCATCTATGATGATGATCCTAATTATTTTTCAGTGAAAGTCACAATGTTTTTATGTCCTTCAACTAACCTCAGTCAAACAGTGTTTTTGTTACTGAAAGGGAAGCTGCCTGCCCAGTGGTTGTGGTGTTTGCTGAACTCTACTTATAATGAATAGTTGTGGTACTTTTATAGGAACTTTATTCACAAAGAGTGGGTTGCATTGGACAAACAAGGGTTTCAACTCTGTGTTAAAAAACAATTGCTAGTGAACTCATCAAAGAAAGAGTCATCATTGCTTAAGGCTAACGTTTCTGAGTAGGTAATCAGGTGTCAAATAAATACATGTGAGAATCTGACACTCCTAAAGATATTTGTGTATTCTAGATCAGATCCTCCTGATATTTTTAATTAGAGTACCACAGACTTATCTTAGGAATGGGTGTGTACATGAATTCAGCAGAAAACTCACCCCATAACCTGGAATTCCTGGCTCTCCTTCAGGTCCCATTCCTCCTAGATGTCCCTGTTAAATCA